CTCGGTAGTGTCCCAAATTTTCTGATCAAGGAGATTATGGGGCCAAAGAGGAAAGTGATCGATGATATAGAGTGTGCCTAAGGAGAGTCACATGGAGAGAAAACCCTCTCTCAGGCTTTCACAGAGAGCATATTGGCCAAGCAATGTCCGTGACTCATCCACATGGCTGATACTGACAAAGGTTCTACAATTTGAGGCACAGGATCTCAGCATAAATCCTGAAGGGATTTCACTGACCTTATCACACCCAAAAGCTACAACTCTTGTTGCATAGGTCCTGCTTTACCTTGGTCTGAAACATCCAGCAGAAAAGTATAAAAACAAAGTATAAGAAATGAAGCCATGCTGTTATGTTGAGTTGTAGGGGACTCAGGTCAACAATTTCTGACATTGCCAATGAAGCAGAAGACCCAATACTATTATTCACTACTGGACTCTTTTAGAATATTTTGCTGAGTTTACACTCCTATAATATTCAAATAATGGAACTTAACAAAAAAGGGGGGATACAGATGAATGTCCATTTTGTATCTGTGTATTCAAATTATTTAGGATAGATATATAGTTACATTCTCTTAATGAATAGAGGGATTTGTTCTAATGGTGTTTATAAATATGATCTCAAGTCCGCATCTTGTACAGCAATTTACCATTAAGAAGAATGTATGCAGTGCGTTAATTATTGAAACTGTCCTCCTGATTTGAAACTGTCTCATTGCTATTTGTTTATCAATAAAATTATGAAAAAAAGGGATTTTCTCAAACAGGAGTAAATGTTTCAGTTATGGGAAAGAAGGAATAAAAAAGACACATTAAGTTGAATTGATAGGAAATCATAAGTGAATTTATGGGTATCAGAGAATATATTTCTCCATTGTCTTACATGACAATGGGAATGATTATATCAGTACTTAGAGAATACTATATTTTCATTAACATGTTTTATTTAGTCATGAAAATTATTTTATGTAAAGCAGATGATTAACAATGAAAATATTAGTGTAGAGATAAATAATAAATCTGGTTATATCAGAGTCATATATAGCCTTGAAGAATCCTGGATGTCTACTTTTAAGAAGCATTTAGAAGACTTAAAATTATGTCAAGGCTTCTCTTTAGAGTAAGAGGTCTGGACACATGACTGAGCCTGCTTCTTCTGCCTTAAAACTGGTCATGAAGCAGGCAAATACTGTGAGAAGGACATAGCGCACATTCAAGCGAAGTTATTCTCACCTGTGAGCTCACACCTCATAGGTCTATCACACTGCTTGTTCTAGGTGCAGAGCTTCGCAACTAAGCAAATGAAAAAACCCATTTATTATATACACACACAAATATTAGAAAACTAATCAGAATAAGCACTGGCACATAATAAACTCTTATATCCATTGTAATATACATCATAAAATATCTCCCAGAAGGCTGTGCTGTGCTATGGACCCAGCTCCAGCTGAGGCTTCCACAACAGAGCTGTCTATAAAGCAGTAAGCCATGCAAATAAGGCCTCCCTCTGCTAATGAAAACCAGCCCAGCCATGGTTGCCCCAGTATTCTCACTCCTTGATGAGGACGGAGCACAGGAGCCTCATCATGGAGCTCCCACTGATCTGGGTTCTCCTTGTCACCATTTTCAAAGGTGATTTGTAGTGTACAAGACATATTAAGGGTGTGGGTGGACATAGATGGGATAAACAGTGGGCATGTGTGATAGTTTAATGACCAGGATATTTCTGTGTTTGCAGGTGTCCAGGCTGAGGCGCCGCTGGTGGCGACTGGGGGAGGCTTGGTGCAGCCTGGGGGGTCCCTGAGACTCTCCTGTGAGGCCTCTGACTTCACCTTCAGTGACTCCTTTGTGCAATGGGTCCGCCAGGCTCCAGGAAAGGGGATGGAGTGGATCGCGGAAATCAGCGGCAATGATGATAGCACGTCCTACATAGACTCTGTGAAGGGCCGATTCACCATCTCCAGAGACAGCGCCAAGAATACGCTGCACCTGCAAATGACAGAACTGAAAACGGAGGACACGGCCGTGTATTACTGCATAAAAGACACAGTGATGGGATGTCAGTGTGAGCCCTGACATAAACCTCACTGCATCAACGCTCAGGACCAGCAGGGGGAGCCGGGGATTCATGAGGAACAAGAGTAGATTTACAGGGAGGTGGAAGTTAATTTCCACTTAGGATCCAAATCTACTTTTCAACATAATACTTATTCCAGATATTCCTTTTCATAAGTCCAACCTGTCCTCTGATCTCTCATTAGACACACGTGTTTAAATAGGAGAATACATTCGCAGTTGTGCAATATGTAGTTTAAAATTTGCACTAAAATTCTACTTTGGTCATCTGGACAAGATCCTTACGAGTCTCAGAGAACTTGGTAAAAGTCAGATATGAAATCGGAACCCAAACTGAAAAGTAGTCTGGGCATAGAGAAATATCTCATTTCTCCAGTGATCAGGGCCAACAGGCCGTGCTCTACACAACCTGGGCTGCTCTGTCCCTCCAGAGGGAGCCGAGGACACAGTAGTACACTTCATATTATCAGGATGCACAGAGCCAGGCCGTCCAGGTCCCCATCAGGAGCAGGTGCACTGAGCCCTGGGGGGACTTTACCTGCATCGTCCTTGCTGTTCATCCCTGTGGGTCATTTCTTTCCCTTTGTGTAAATGGAATGATAATGAGCTCTGTATTTATTTCTTTATGACTTATATGTGCAAGCTAACATTTATTTATCAACATTTCTATAACATTCATAATATTTTAAGAAGTCTATAACTAATATGTTGAATTTTTAACAAATTGTTCTTTAATATTCTTGGCATCAGTAACCTCACTAATTAAATGTAAAGTGGCCATTATTGATCAGTGCATTTCAATGAAAAATTACAAAGACCCATCCAATGTTATAATAAATCATTTCCCTAAGTTGCCACAGGGACATCATGCTTTTTTGGCCATCGCTTTTCATTCTTGGTCTTTCTTCTCTCTGTCTGAGTCAATGTAAGGCCAAATCTATTTCTGTCTACATGGATTTTCCATTCATGAAATTTTTGCCTGTGCTTTAAGGAATAGAGTGATAGTGCTTGTATCCAACTTCAACTGCTTAGTCAAGCACTTTCAACTTAATGTCTTATTTTTAAAAACTGATTTTGGTTGTTTGGGAAAAAAATTATAGAGAGTAGGATGTACTGATGTGGACTTTGACAACCCCCAATATTGGTCCATCAATATTGTTGTTCTAAATCATACACTGACACACACACACAGAGGCACACATACATACACACACACATGAGTGCACACACACACACACACACACACACACACACACACACACTTTGACTCCCGTTCTTCAAAGGCACAGGTCCCCTCCTCTGATGCAGCCCACACTTGACAGTGGGCAATGGGTATCAGATCATGGTCTTGGGAGAGGGTGGGGCACCTTTGACAATGACCCAGGACATGGCAGCTATTCAGAGTCTGCATGAGCTGTGAAGTCTGGACCTCTGCTCTGTCCCTGCCCAGCCTCACTCCACTCCAGATCAGCTGTGTCGGCCAAATCTGAATTCTATATTCTGTGAGGTGAACTGGAGCCTTGGAAACCATAAGACACACGTTTGATAGGAAGCTTTGGCTTGAATGGCTCCTACATTTCTGAACTACTGTGGCAGGAATCCTAAAGTGAAAACAAAATCAAAATTAGGGAAATTCTTCATCCCAATGTTTACAATCTTGTTGAAGCAGAGCATTTTCTAAGTGTTAAAAGTGCTACCACATCTGTGTGACAGCTTTCTTATTGTATTAAATTCTACAATAGAATGAGATGTCTTTCTTAGTCTTGCATGTAGCAGTTGAACAGTATTTATATTGAAAAATTGCTTTCGTAGTGTGGTTTTGTTTGAAGTACTGGGAACTGAACCCACAGCTTTCCATTGTACTACAGCCCCAGTCAATATTTTAATTAAAAAAATTTGTCTCTACGAAATTGTTAAGTTTCCTGGGCATGGCTCAGGTTTCAATTCTCATTTCTCTTTCAGAATTCTGGGTTTATAGAATTTAGCCCCCTACCCTGGGTGAAAATTAGAGATGAAATCAGTATTATTTATTTGTTACACTCCAAATTATTTGAAGTGAAGGAACATCATATAATTATATTTGCAATAAAAATCTAATTCAAGACTTATCTTTCCAGATAGGTGCAGCACCATTGAGTTAAATCTTTGGCCATCAGAGTATCATTTTATGATTTACTCTCCATTTGATTTCATTCTCAATGTAATTTTTATAACTATGAATTAAGAAATATGATGAGCATTACTTCTCTTTCTATGAAAAACTGTTATCAAAATATATTTAGCAAATAATTCATACATGGAGAACCTTAATTTCAGAAGTGCACAGATGTTACTGAGAGTACAGCTCATGGAGAAAGGACTCTGCTTTACAAAGAGAAATAAAAAGATAGTGACACAGACCTTTCTTTTCAATAGTGTATGAGGAAACAGTACTACAAATGGAGCAGATTATATATATTAAAACATTCTTGAAACAATTGAACAGAGCACTTGGAGAATTAATTGAATTGATTTCTCTTCCCCTTTCCTTGTCCATCTTCTCTTCTGATCTTCATTTATATGTGTATATGATTTTGTTGCTATAAACCAAATATATTTCAATTTCATCATCTAAATATAGAACTTTCCAATAGTTTATTAGTAATTATACCTTCATTATTATTTATTCAAGAAGAGATCATCATATTTTAATAATGATTTTGCTTCAGTATTTTAATTTTCTATTCACTTCATTAACTTGTTATCTAACTGTAAAGTTTCTAATTAATGTTCATTCGTGTTGCCCAATTTTTCATTGGTATTTACCATTTTCCTTTGGTAACTTATTATGTGTTCTTAATATGTTATAATACATATATAATGTATATATTATATTCTTCCATCTAAGAAATAGCCATTAATATATCCTATCATCTATGTGAAATAAAAGACAAAAAAGCTTAAATTTCACATGATTTCTCTTTTCTGAGGAACAAAATTAGAGAAAATGAATAATATATGAAATAGTAATTTAGATCTTGCGTATTTTGTAACAGGGAAAAGGACAAAGAATTGGAGGAAATGGGGAGGCAAGCAAAAAGAAATGGATAAAAAGACTTAAATGCATTATATGTGTAGATCATCTCCCCATAATTGACATAACCGTTGAGTATTGCGAACACTACTAACAAAAATTAACACCAAAAATTAAAAAAATTGTGATAAATACAAATCAGAAGGACAGAGATGTAATGACAGTAGCTAATGTGAGACTCAGCAAGTAACATCTGTGTCACCATTGCTTCTGATTCCTTCACCAAATAGCAGAATTCAGGGGTACCACACTCGTTGACGCTGCATGAGGCAGAGTTCTGGACCTCACCAGGTGCTTCCCTCTCTCTGCAGGTGCTGGATCAGTAAGCAATGTGTTCATAGCTTTATGAGAACAGGCCCAGGAAATGAATACAACATTCTCAGGGCATCCGCTCCTATATAGAAAACAGAACAAATTATACCATTTTCATAATCTTACATGACTGTAAAGCACACTGTTAATACAGAAAAGTCCATTTCTTGTTTATGTGCACAAATGTGAAATATGAGGAGATACATAGTCCAGAAACTATCCCATAAAGAGAGATCATAATTTCCACTATTACCAAACTTGCCTAGGATGGTCATATTTGCTAAGGCGATGTCTTCTTTGATACATCTATCTTCAGAGCTGCCTGCATAACAAACTGAAATGGCAATAGGACTTCCCTCTGCTGATAAGCACATGCCAAGCCTGGTGGTGTAGCTGTGGTGTGGAGTGCTGACCTGGCTGCAATGTTGTTCCCTCTCAGTTAACATTATTGAGCACAGATCAAAGATGTTTAGACTGAGCTTCATTTTTCTTGCTGAAATTTTTAAGGATTGATAGCTTGTGGAAAATAAAAGATCTTGGATATGCATTTGTACATGAGTAGGATAAACAGGGGTGCTTTGTGACATACTGAGTCAGGTGACACCATTTGCAGGTGTTGTGTGTGAGGTGCAGTAGGTGTAGTGTGGGGAGCCATGGTGCATCCTGAAGAGTCACTAGGACTCACTTTGCAGTCTATAGAGTCCCAGTAGAAGCCATGTGTGTGCTATTTCTGCCAAGCTTCAGGGAGGGGAAGACTGGGCATTGGTAATTAGCAATGAGTGGAGGTAGCACATATTGTTGTACCCTGTTAAAATTGACTCCATTTTGTTGCCCTTCTAACCTCACCGAGTTCCTGTTCTGTATGCACCGACCCCTCCCAATTCCTCCTCCAATTTCCCAATTCCTCCAATTCCTCACCCCTGTGACTCAAGTCTTATGATATCTGTTCCCCAAACCTTATCTCAATGAACTATATATAACTGCCAATTCAGCACCTCCACCCAACAGAACCACCCCATGAACTAATGACTCGCTGTACCCCATGATTGCTGATTTCAGCACCCCACCCAGTAAGACCACCTAATGAACTAATGACCCTGCCACTTCTTCCTCTCCACCCCTTCCCTGTTTTTGCGGTTTTCAAGCTTAAATACTGCACCTTATTAATGCTCGGCACGCCTCTTTGCACCTTGCATAGAGATTGCCACTGGGTACCAGCTAAAATAAAGCACTTTTTTTAACTTTTGGACTTGCCTCGTTGTCATGTGATTTTTTTCAACAATATTATACAGCCTTCATGAAGGGCCAAGTGATCATCACCAGAGACAAGACCAAGGACACACTCTACTACAAATTATTCTGAGGTCTGAGGACATGATTGCGCATTACCAGCCCAAAGAAATAGGGAGGGGACAGCAATGCAAGATGTACAGAAAACTCTTTCAGGGGCAGTGCTACAAGAAGCGGGTGAAGAGGATCCATTTGGCACCAGGAAATGACTTAGCAGCAGGAAGGAAGAGAAGGAAGCTGTAGAGACACGGTTTCCTATAGATCTCTGATATTTTTTCTCTGTCTTAAAAATGTGAATCAGAGGCCAGGAGATAACTCAGTGTATAAGCACTTGCTTTGGCAAGCCCAGGGAAACAGGTTTAATCCTGGCCCCGCATGCTGCGCCGGCCCCACCCCCAGTGTGCACTGAACCTGTGAATGAGTCTGGAGTGATAGCACATACCTGTAATTCCAGCACTTGGAAGGCTAAAAAACAGGAGGATCGTTAAGAGTCTGAGCTGTGGAGTGAGACCCTGTACAAAATACATAAATGGAAAAAAAATATGTATGAACTGAAGACAAGTTGCGCACAGAATCTGTGGAAGGTTTATGCCATGGTCTCATGTGAGGGTTGATGGAGAGTAGGCTTGAAGGGTCCTTGGCACCTGCAGGTCCCCTGGCTGGGCTTATTCAGAGGGAAGAACAGACCTCCTGTAAGGAAGCCCCATCTTGTTCCTCACACCCAGCTCAGGTCTCCCTGTAGCATAGCAGGGTAAGTAAAAAAATCTATTGCTCTAGGTCATGGTTTAGAAAACTCAGAGCTTCACTGAAAGAATCACAGTAGCTTGTTGAATATGTTTTCTGTGATGTAGTCACTAGGAAATTACACAAGGCCCAGAAAGGGACCCTTCTGAGGTTGGAGAAGAGTGAGGTGGTCAGGATCCACACTGAAATGCTGCAGTTCAGGAGCAGATGTGGAACCTCTGGAAGTTACACTCCAGGATTTAGTTCTCAACTTTCAAAAACTCATCCAACATTGGCAGTTTATAATGAATTCACACTTTGATAAATATTTCACTATATGACTTTGTTTAACTCAATCATTCAAAAAGAACTGCAAATGTGGAGTACTAGTAGTACTAGTGATTTGCATACTTCATTAGTGTGAAGCTGGAACACAGGACTGATTTTCTTAATCTGAAATGGTGCAGCCCATCAGCAGGCACAGAACATGATCTTCACTATCAGATTTTGGTTTTGACATTATGAATTAGTGTGTTTCAGGGTTCTGAAGGGTCACAGCATGTGACAGTCACAAGGACCATGTAGATCAATCAATGAGTAAAGAAGATGCAGATGGACACCATGCAGACTCTGTGGACCCTCCAAAATTCTGCCTTCTTCAATTGTTAATGAGACACAAATAAAATCAACACAAAGCCTTAGGAAAGATTTATGAAACTGAGTTACACAAGTTCACACTGAGGTTCCAACCTTCATAGGATCAGAAACTCAGTCCTACATTGTACATCACAGGGCTGGTCTTAGCAGCAAGGGCCTTGCTGTAGAAGAGATGGGACATCATCAATCCAGACAGGTGCTGGAGAATCCGTTTTAGGAGGCTAGGCTAAAATCAGAAGGGCACATATCTCATTCTGAGTACACATGTGGAATGGGCAGAGTTCCTTCCTAAGAGTCAACGATGAATTCTGTTGACATTCGATACAAGTGAGTTCTGTTCATATCTGATACAAATAGGTAGAGGTCAATACACCTGTCTAGCACCAAGGACACTGAAGGTCATGAAGAAGCTCAGGAAGTTTATGGACTATTCAAAGTTAGATTCGCAAACAGACCCTTCCTGTAGTGGCTTACTTCTCAGTGATGGGAAGTCTGCATTCACAAGATATCCGGAGTGGTGGGAGATGTATTTCCTCTGAAAGTATAAGTTCAAGAATCCCAACATCTCACTGCTGAATGCTCCAAGTACAGTTACAGCTTGTATATATATTGTAGCAGATCTAGTACTAAGAGTTTTCCACCCTGATGAATATGCAAATAACCAGAGACTGCTGAGGTAAATATGGATGGTCTATGTACCAGAGCACTCTGCAGCAATCTCTGTCTTCTGTAGAATCTCCAAAGAACAGCTCCTCACCATGGATTGGATGTGGAGAATCCTCTTCTTGATGGCAGCTGTGAAAAGTAAGGTGATCCCTACTTCTAGTCTTGAGGAAGAAAGCAGAGATGTCAGAGTGTGCAGCACCAAACTTTTGTTTTCTGTCCTCAGGTGCCCGTGGCCAGGTGCAGCTGGTGCAGTCTGGGGCTGAGCTGAGGAGGCCTGAGTCCTCAGTGAAGGTGTCCTGCAAGGCTTCAGGCTACAGCTTCACTGGTTACTGGATGCACTGGGTGCGACAGAGCCCTGGACAGGGGCTGGAGTGGATTGGAGAGATCAACCCTCATAATGGCAATACTAATTATGCTCAGAAGTTCCGGGGCAGGGCCACCCTCACTGCTGACAAGTCTTCCAGCACAGCCTACATGGAGCTGAGCAGCTTGAAATCTGAGGACACGGCCATGTATTACTGTGCGAGGCACACAGTGTGGTGACCCACATCCTGCATGTGTCAGAAACCCACAGGGAGGAGCAGCTGCCTCGATGATGAAAAGACAGAGATGATGAGACTCAATTTGCTTAGAAATTTATGAAAAATTTGTAGATAAAAATGTAAAAACCAAAAGTTTGTATGCATTCTAATGAAATGGTATAATTGTGTGTTTGTCTACTACAGACACCCTTCATTATGGCTATTGTCTGATGTCTCCCTAAAGACTCATTATGTTATCAGGAATACAGTTTTAGAAGCTGAATCTAGAGTTTGTTCTTTGCTTGTGCAATGCTTACATTATGAATGTGAGTTCTACACATTCTAAGCACGAGTAGCTTCCATACAATTTAAGGGACAGCAAGGGTCACCACCTCCTCTCTTTTTGATTTTTTTATCTTCTACCACCACTATCTGTTGTCCTCTGCCATGTACTATGCTACATACAGCCTGCCAAATATGAACTGAGGCCTCTAGCAACTGTGATATAAATGAAACTGTCTTTCTTTCATTTTGGTTTTCAGATATTTTGTCCTCCCAATCAGAAAATAGCTATCATACTTCCCACGTAAAATACAGTAAAGAAAAAAATCTGTCTACTGTAAATCATCATTTTTGTGAGAACACATAGTAATGTATCAGTTTACAAACTAAATTTGTTACACAATTCAGGGAAAGATGTTCTTATTCCTGTTAATGTGGAGAAGATTACCAACATTTTGTTTCACACGATGTGGAGTTCATCAGTGGAAGTAAAATTTTATAGAATGCTTCTGTTTGTAAACTGAACTGATCAGGAACATTAGCACTTGTCAACTGAGATATTATTGAATTCCAAAACAATTGGGGAAATATCTAAGTGCAAAGTTTCATAATCACATGACCTTGTTCTCTTTACTTTGTACAGAATGACTAGAATGTTGCTACCATTTCTATTTTTTTTTGAATATGAGTGGGGCATCATTATGTTAAATGCAACGTATACTGAGATTTAGAAAAAATTCCCAGGAACCACTTTGCTGCTTACATGTACAACCTGCCTCTCTACCAGAACCCAGACTTGCAGTCCCTCTTTGTCCCAGCAGTTAGGCCCACAGTGAGACACCACCACCTTCTATAGTCAGATTGCTGACATAGGTTCATTCCTTGTGCTGTGCATTCTGTGGGTTTAGATAAATGAGCAATGACTTGCCTTCACAACAAGCTTCATGTGTGTCCATGTTACTCAAGTGATCACCAAAAGCATCCCTGAGGTGCCTTTGGGTAGTAGGTGGCCATTTAGACAGTCAAGGGGTGGAGGCCCTGACAGAAGAATGTGAAAGCAGAGCACCTGGGAGGAGTCCAGTGGGCCAGGCTGGCAGTTGAGGTCTTTCCTGTGAAATCTCCTGGGGCCTCCACGACATGGTTGGCTAATAGAGATGGTTCAGATGCTTCCTTTTAGAAGCCTTCTGCTGATGGCTCCACTGTGCCTTCAAGCAGTCTTTATCCCTGGTAGAGAGCTGAAGGAGGTGAAGCTGATGGAAGCATACTCCGCAAGTGCACAATAGCATCATGTTCACTTCAGTTCTGTGAACACCTCATGTTCTTCTGTCCATTGGTATTTTCGCATCCATAAGAAATTCCCAAAGAGCCTTCACAGTGGAAGAACCATTGTCCATCCCCTTTGGAATAAGTGCCTCGTTGCCCTTACATCCTCAGGATTTTGTTTGGTCCATGTTTGATTCTTAGAATTTCTAAATGATGTATATCATATGATTGTAAAAATATATATTTTCCTACAAACTATACTGAAAAATTATGGAAGTACACATAAATATTAAATATTTTATTACATTTCATTTTGAGAGTTTTTCTTTGGTTCTTTCTAAAATTTTCCTGAGTAGCTTCAGAATTTAGCTAACAGTATGTTTCAGCACTTGATGTTTGGATTTTCATTTTACAGCTTCATAGATATTCACACTACAGTCTGGTAGCAGAGCTTAGCAATCATTTATTTTGTTCCTGAGAAGTGACTAATAAAGGAGATTATGTATTTTTCTCATCAAAAAAAATAATAATTATGCAATATTGTTCTTGTTGATTTGCTGGGTATAGCCAGTTCACTTGAAAGCATCAATAGGTTTCAAGTGTTTCAAACATCAAATTTCTCCTCTGACTGCTGTAGTAGCATTGAATTTAAACAAATATACTAAAATAGTTATACTTCAAGCCACCTTAGCAGCCGGGTGTGTACCTCAGCTCAGAGGCACAGCACCTACCTCTCAAGTGCAAGGCTCTGATTTTGATTTCCAGTACCAAAATAAGAAAAAAAAATCCATGACATACTCTACATGATAACTCTCCACAGTCTTAGTAAACAATTCAAATTAAAATATAATGAAATCAATTTATACAAATAGTAAATAGAACCACAGAAACTCTCCTTCAGTAATGGTAATTTCCAGAAGTTCAAAGAGAAATACCACCTGTCAGGTATTTGATAACAGAGGTTGCATAAGTATCAGGTTACATTTGCATAACAGTAATCATGTTATATATCTTACATTTACAGAGTTAAATAACGCTAAATACGCATAAGATATCAATTATATTTTAGTTTTCTAATATTTTCAAAATGTATTTATATTAGCAGCACATCGTGTTTACTTCTGTTCTAGAAACTAGGTTCTACATACTTAGAATATATTGATTCCTTTATTCTCTGTATTTCCTATTTTTCCTTCTATATAAAGGAACAGGCAAATATACCCTCACATGCACTTATGCATATCTCTGTGTATATGAAATTGATTGGGATGATACCAAAAATTATAATGAAATGAAACAGATAAATAAAAATAGAAAATAATGCAAAATCCGTGGGAAAACAATAAGCACACTATTTTGTCAGGGAATAGATTCACAACCTGGCTATGACTTAATTATTTTTGAGTAATGTGGACATAAATGAAAATAAAATTTAAAAACAAATTAGGAGTGGAATATTTCTTTCATTTCTGCAACAGAAACTCTTGCTATACTATACTAAGTGGACAAATGCATAAACATGCTGGATACAGATTTGTAAAGAAACAGAAAATATGAAATGATTTGAAAGTTGTATCTGTTACAATTACCATTATAGAGGAATATTAAGTAATTCGTGGTACAGCTCTGGCTTTCACTAACTTGTGTAGAGAGGCTGCATTAGATCTGATTCTCCAGAGCAGCAGGATAAATAGTACACATAACTGCAGAACAGGGAAAGAGATTTTTCTTCTGAACTGGCTCACAGGACCTTAGAGGCAGGAAAGCCCCATCTCTCCTATGTGGGCTGCAGGTGGAGACCAGGGAGATGGAACTGCAGGTGAGGTCGCAGGCTGTGGGCTGCAGACTCCCTGTCCCTGGGTGATCCTTGGGGCCAGTTTTTTGCATCCGTCTCCTGATTAATGAATGTCACATACATGATGGAGGAATGTCTATATTTCTCAGGGTTCAATGATTATTTCAAATTTAGTTTTGAAAATGAATATTAAATAAAAATTTAGAAATGATATAGAATTTCACTAAACAAAATAATACAAATTTGATATATTATCTGTTGTATGGAAACTGTTTTCTTCAAATTAATTGTTTATATTACAAGATATGTGTGTTCCATGCAACCCAGTCATTCTCCTCCTGCATATTTTTCCAGAAAAGCAGAAAAGATCATACCACAGCAATATATGTGTACTCATGTTTACAGTAGTGCTATTTGTCATAGCTAAGTCTTGGAAGCAACCCAGATGCTCATCAACTGAGAACTGGATAAAGAAGATATTATGTTTGTGAAAAATGGAATTTAACCCATCTATATTTTTTCAAAATTTTATTGATAAACAGATAGCAATGAGACAGTTTCAAATCAAATCGGAAGTACAGCTTCAAAAAATAATACACTGCATATATTCTTCTTAATGGTTAATTGCTGTACGAGATGCGGACTTGAGATCCTATTTACAAATACCATTAGAACAAAACATTCTATTCATTAAGAGAATGCAACTATATATCTATCCTAACCACTTTGAATACACAGATACAAAATGGACAGTCATCTCTATACCCCTTTATTTTCTAAGTTCCATTATTGAATATTATAGGTGTGTAAACTCAGCAAAATATTCTAAAAGAGTCCAGTAGCCCATAATAGTATTGGGTCTTCTTTTTTTTTTTACAGTGTGCCAAACATAATTTTTAATTAAATGAGAGGCTTATTTCATGAACATTTCAACATTTCATTGAAACTTCAGAAACAGTATACTAAAATTACCAATATTGGCTGTCAGTTTTCCCAGTTAAGTTTAAGATTACTAGGGATTGACCTACAGAATAATAGATAAACTAAATGAGATAAAACAAGTTGCAAAATATGTTACTTTGAATTTTAGGCACAAGTCCTTCACTTGTTTTAACATAAAAAGACTAGGAAATAATGTGGTAAGATCTGAAAACTAGAA